TTTTGTGTCTCCCTGCTTCAAAGCTTTGTTTTCTGTAGCCAAATTAGTCCAGAAAGTTATGATTTGCTGGCCTAGGCCGGCAAAAATATCACTAAAAATTGGTTGGTGGAACTGATTTAATTTGCAATGACAGTTCTAAATTTAAATTAAATTGTAAGAATGATAGGCATATTTTTTGTGCAAATTCCATTTTAAGCACTTTATGGCTTGGTAGGTAACATAGTAATACGTATATGTAAATGCGGTAGGTAAGTATACCCTAATCAAGAATTGTAAGTTTCACTTACAAGTTTTCGTTTAGTGCGGTTATGACACTTGTACATGTTTACCGATGGTAAACTTACGGTTTATGGCAAAAAACAGAGAGCTAATTGAAAGTATAGGAAATTGAAGTTTACCTACTTCCACACTCGATGCCAACAAATGGTTTCCCATGTAAATTAACGCAGTCAAAAAACACAACACTAAACGGATGAAGAGTAACGACACTATGTTTTGTAATTATTATTATTTCTGCCATTGTTAACATTAAACTGTATACATTATTCCATAAATTATATATCTACAAGCAAGTATATTTCTCTGAAGATGACAGTTTCCGAAAAGGAGGTGTACGCATATGAAAACGGTCTTCTTGTCGATATCTATGCTCATACCTATCTATGATGAAAATTTCCGACATCAGTTACTTCCGTGTAGTAAGACCATAATAATCAAACGACACTGCATACACCAAATTGTAGATTTGCACGAAGCAATCATCGGACCTCTTGCTGCTCTCCTCGTAATCGACAGCCAACGAGAAGTAGATATCCAAACAAACTTGTTATCATTCTTATATGTAATGGAATTAATATGATAAATCAATTTGCAAATGAAAGCATTGCAACCCAATTCTCAAAATAGGTGTAAGCCGTAAGCACTAGCTGAAATTGAAATAAATTTCAAGGTTATGTTTCCCATTGAAATCAACTTACTACTTATTAGTTTTAGCGCAGTTTCTTTTAAATGTTATGAACTTCTTAAGACTGGGCTAAGCGTTTTAGAAATTTGTAAAAATAATTAAATTAACGTAAATGCTTTGTTTATTCATTTAATCACAATTAATGTGGAATAAACACTGGTAATTTAGGTAAATATCGGTTGTGAATTGACATGCTTGTGCTACCAACTGCCAACTGTCTGTGCTACCAACATAACATCGAAATATTGGAAATTTGAATGCAAGTATGACGGCTTATTATAGGAGGTAGAAATATAAATTTTAAAATTAACGTTGTTCCCTCAAATTTTTTACTTCGACACAAAAAATCTTGTGTATTACACGTCCATAAAAATGTTTTGCGAGTATTCGTATTGCAGGCCTCAGCTCCGCTTCGGCCTGCAACCTTACTCACACTCGCAAACATCCATTTTCTGGACTTGTGATACAAATAACTATTTTAGTATAATTTCGTTCTGTCCCCAGTTTCGAATCACCCTACACAAGTTATAAGTAACATAATTCATACTTTTGGTGTAAAATATGTATTTACTATAGTCAATATTGCGAGTTTCTATTTCAAAATATTTTATGAGAAACGCCACATATAACTTGTTTTATTAACAGATTCAAATTGCTACATAAATTTTACTAATGAATAAATAGAGTATACGGATTCTGTAACTGTTTTTTCACTAATTTCAGAAAATGAGCAATTGTAGCTCCGTCAATAATTCTATGGTCAGCGCTTGCACTTAAGTTCATAATTTCTTCTGCAATTACATTGCCATTGGAATCAAACCTTGGATAAATCTGCAAAGTAAAGAACTTATATATACGTCTCAAGAAGGGGGACTTACCTTAGATTCTCCAATGGCAATTATTGCTACTTGCGGTGCCAAAATGACAGGTGACGCGTAAGTTCCACCAATCTAAAATTGCAAATTTAATATATTGGTTGATCATACAGTTATTTTTCTACACTTACCACACCAATGTTAGAAATGGTAAAGGTTCCTCCGGACAAATCATCGGTAGAAAATCGTCCATCCTTCCTAAACTGCATCAATCTATTGATCTCTTTGGCGATTTGTAAAATATTTAATTGTTGAACATTTTTTATAACGGGCACGGCAAGACCAACCTCGGTATCCATCGCTACGCCAATATTGTGGGAACCTTTGTAAATTATGTTTTCACACGTGCCGTCGAGCGACGAATTTAAAATTGGGTATTTGTGTAGGGCGTTTGATATTGCTTTTATGAAAAATGAAAGCATTGTTAGTTTCACTCCCGACTCCTCCGCTTCTTTTTTTAACGACTTTCTAATTTTTGATAGTTGGGTTACGGTAACTTCATCGCAATATACCAGGTGTGGAATTTTCTGAAACAATATCGAGTTTAACATGATCGAATAATTATTTATAATAATGATAATCCTAATTCGTGCCATAAATCGAAAAAATTGCCGATGATAACGGTAAATTTCAATTCCGGCAAACATAAAACGTGTAGGTACTTCGTTTCGTGTTCTCATATCTCAATCACTTGACTAAACAAGTTTTCAATTGTCGGCCATTAACCGGATTTGAGTCTAACCGAGTACTTCACTGTACTAGTCAAGAGCTGTAGTAAGTTTTTTTTGTTTATTTCCGCTGATTGTGGGATTTGGTGGATAAGTCAACTTCATTTCAAATGACTTACTGAAGAGATAAAAAAATTAAGCGCTTATTATGCATCTTTTTGCGCCATTAGAACGACATTTTTGCCCTTAATACGATTCGCCCGGTGGACTACACACGTAGCCGTGGACTTTATTCATTCATTTCATTTATTCATTTGAACGGCGCATTATTGGCGCCTATTTATGCACATTAGGTAATTTAAATGAATCGTAAATATCCCGGTCGTTTTCACACACTTTGCCTCATATATTGCATCAGCCGCACAGTAGGTACAGCGTTTTCGAACTATAAGTGCTCCACAGTGAAGTCGAACTTTTCACATTTTTTGATAGCGCTATCCTGACCGGAGTCAATCGTTAGTTAACAGTTATACATTTTATCGGCACACAAAACCGTTGCCTAAATATAGGTACCCAAGGTGAAGAATAAAGGCATATAAAGGAATTGCTGACTTCTACAATTTCTGAAAGCACTATTTGGACTGCTGGCTATTATTAGTGCTTCGTTAGTGCTTCATACCATGTAGCGTGCGCCAAAGCATTACCAAAATATATAGCTTTTCATTTCTCAGTGGCAACTTCTCAAACACTTTGAAGTACAAGATCACTCACTAAACTGAGTACAGCTAACACTGAAAGGCACTAACGAATGACAATGGCCCGTAGGTTAGCGCTTTGCATCACAGTGCCAACTTCCCGACCCTGTGCAAACTGCACCGTAAACGCAAAATAGTTTTTTGAGAAAAACAGGTATCAGTTGGGTAAAGACTACCTTTCAAAATCATTGTACTGGGTTTGACGAATTTGGCGCTAGTATTTAGATTCATCCCAAATATCTAGATCTGAGGGTGCCAGTGGATTTAATGGAGCTGTTAAGTTAAAGCACCAGAGACTGTCATTGTTGGCAGTGAAGAGAGTAAACTGTTTATAAATTATTACCAATGATTCTGTCATTGTTTTGACCATAGCCTTCGTGAATCCGCGTATTGGTTCTACTCTATCTTGAGCTGGTGGTGTGACTGTTGAAGCAATATCGGGTACAACCCTTCCATCCGGTTTTCCCTTTTCGATGTACAGCAAAATATCTTCCTTGAGTATGCGTCCATTTTTTCCCGTTCCTTGTACATATGATAGGTTCACCTACAATAATTGACCTTAAAAGCTTGCGAAAAGTAATTAACCCTCACATTATGTTCCTTTGCTATTCTTCTAACGGACGGAATGCATAACGTTTCCGCACCACTTGTACTAATAACGGAGCGTTCTTCCTGTTTAACACTTTTTTGTTCAGTGGCGTCTTGAACTTGACCTTCGCTTTGATTCGTCTCTACAACCGCGCCGAAATTTACGTAGGTGACCTACTTACTTAAAAGTTATAGGCAGCTTACCTTCAGCCTGGTCTGTTTCTATATCCACCAGCGGTTTCCCAACATAAGCAATTTGGTCGACATCGTAATACAATTTAGCAATAACGCCGTCATATCGACTTGTTATAGTAACAGATGCCTTATCACTTTGGACTTCACAAATATTGTCAAATTGAGAAACTTTATCGCCAACCTTGACAAACCATTCTTTAACGGCGACCTCTCTAATACCTTCTCCTATATCAGTCAAGTTGTATGAAACTTTCGCCAGTAAGTCCCTTGATATGTGAAAACTTCTGGAGGTGTGGTGTACATACTTCGCCTGCAATGATTTAAGTTATTCAAATCAAAATGACCTCCTCACGGACATGCCCCCACTTTGGAAACTTACAGTGGACTTGTTTAGTAAAACCGTTAGGAGTTTGTGGCACTTGATCGCTGTAGACATGTTGCTTGGAGTAGCGACTACACGTTACTGATAAGATGCCCAAATACTTTTTTAATTATCTTATCGAGCGCGTCAAATTCATAAACGCTGTATAAATAATCAACGTTGAATACACACTGATGAATATATGAATATTATGCTTGTATATTAAACTTTGCCCACCAGTAGAAGTTGCTCTTTATATATACCTATAAGTGCCGTGAAAGAAGAAACTATTGGGACATTTTCTACAACGTAGAGCCTTTCCTCACTGCTTACAGACTACACATCCTACTTTCATGTTATACGAATGGTGTTACGACTTTACGAGTAGGTAATGGAGACCAGATGCGCATGTGAAGTCAGCCCCTCATTTATAAAATTTTGTAATTGTAATTAGAGTTCTGAAGGCCTTCTATAAAGTTCTAGAGTTTTTGATAAATCTTAAAAAAGATAATTTTGAAAATATGGGAAGGCAACTTCACGATGCCCCTCGCCCCACTCACGCCCCTGTACCGTCAAAATTATCAAAGTCCTCGTGTGAGATCGAAGGGACTTCAGGGCATTTTTGTGTGGCAGATCAGTATTCTATTAGCCACTTTCGACTCAACTATCAATAACAGATCTTTTCGAAGGCTACTACATTCACTACCCGTTTCCCACTTTCCGCGTGCACCCGCATAAAATCGGGTCGGGGGCTACCACATTCCCTTTGACGGTAGCCACTTCCGACGACCCGTTCACCCACCCGCAATTCGCTTCTACAAGAGTTCTTCTACGCGCCCACATTTGCAGCCAGCCAGCCAGCCAGCCAAAGTGAGATTAAAAGCTACTTTTTACAAATAAATTTGCAAAAATGCACTAAAAGCAAACTTTTTTACAGTTCTGAAGCGGGAATCGGATAACCAATTGCTATAACATTCCTGATAAGTGATACCATTGTGGTGTACATACACTACACAGGGTGAGTCAACTATTGCGCGGAGTAACTTAATACCTTGAAGAAAAGATTTTTCGATAGAGTGCTTTTGTATTATGATATGGTTGAATATTCTCCACATTTTAAAAATATTTGGAATTATACAGGGTACGCCCACAAAGTAGGGCGCCAAAATGAATAAAAAATAAATGCGCTATTGTCGCCACTTTGTCCGTCCGTCCGTCCGCTCGTTCGTTAAGACGCTACTAGTTCTTTATCTTAAAAGCTATTGTTCTAGTTTTTTCGCTATTTGGTTCGTTATGGTGTCGAGGCTTGTACCAAGGAAGGAATTTTTTCTGCGTTTATTGCTAACAAAGTTATTGTAAAAAAACCAACAAACCGTTTTTTACATGTTCCATAATTTTACACTTTTGGCGTTTATTAACGATCCCAGAGATCGTTTATAATTTTGTATTGCTGTCTGTCGTCTGGCTGTTGGTATGTCCGTCTGTTCCTTTGTCTGCCTGTCCCTCTATCTGTCCGTGTGAACGGTAACTTTGGTTAGAAATATCCGATCGCTTTGACATCTCCGTTAGTTATGAACTGAATTGCATGAAATTCAATAGCTTTAGCCATATAATACGCAATGGCAAAAGTTGAGTCGAATCGATCCAAAATTCCCAGGGCCCTTTTCGCATCTCGACCATTTATAAACCGAATGGCAAACTTTTTTATTTATAGAAGTATTTGAATAAAATTTGATACATAGGCACTTGGAATAAATAAAAATCAAACGCCAGTTTCAATATTTGGTTTTGCGCATGCGCAGTGCTATCTTTTTTTAATTATGGAAGAATCTAACCGAAATTTGATACATAGGCACTTGGAATAAATGAAAATCAAACGCCAGTTTCAAAATTTGGTTTTGCGCATGCGCAGTGCCAACTTTTATATTTATGGAAGAATTTAAACGAAATTTGACACATAGGTCCTTGGAATAAAGGAAAATCTAACGCCAGTTTCAAAATTTTATTTTGTGCATGCGCAGTGGATTCTGGATTACGATAGGAGGGTGAACAGTGTCCACGCGTACTTAGGCCTCAAATTCAGGCCCTTTGTACTACCTGCCTGACTAGGGTCGCCCGACCCCTCAACATCACTCAAGCCATCCCACACGTGAGATGAACCTTAGGACGCTGGAAGGGGAGGCGGCTCTAATCGTAGCCATGTCCGGCCAGGATTCCCCCAACATGGATCGTCTCAGTTGGACTAGAGCGGGACATTCACAGAGTATGTGGTATGCCGTCTCGTCGTCTGTGTAACATCCTCTACAAGATGGTGATTCCACCAAACCCATGCAGTGCATGTGCTTGTTTAGTTTACAGTGCCCAGAAAGTATGCCCACGAGTAACCTCAGGTTCTTCCTTGATAGCCCTGTACAAAAACGCGCCAAGCTACGAGATGGTCCTCTGAAGGCTTCTCTCGCATGGCGACAATCTAACATCAAGTTCCACCTAGCCCTGTGCTGGGTTTGGGTGTCTTGAGTTATTAGGTTGTTTACAGTTGTAACTGTAAGTGGAAGAGCCGGCTCTGGACCATAAAACGCCTGTTTTGAGGCCAGTCGGGCTAATTTATCGGCTTTCTCATTACCTTCCGTTCCAGCATGCCCTTTGACCCATACGAGCTCAAGGGTGTTGCTGCTTGCTACTTGCTCTAGTACGTGGTAACATTCGGAAACCATCCTAGAGGTAATTTTACAGTGACCAAGTGACTGCAAGGCAGCCCTGCTGTCACTTGAGATTCTGATAGTTTTGTTCTTTATGTTATGCATAAGAACTGTTCTTGCACTAAGCGTTAATCCTACCAACTCTGACTGGAATACAGTAGGAAGTTTACCTAGTGGTTGGGTGATATGGAAGTTCAGTTCTTTGGAGTAAATACCAGTGCCTGTACCTTCCATTGTCTTAGATCCATCCGTGAAGATGAATATATCTGGTTGGGAGGCCATATTCTCATCAAAGAAGATGTGATAGTTTTTCCCTAATATGAATTGAGGAGTGAGTGAGTCCGATCTCCCCTCTAGGATAGGCAGACGCTTGATCGCTTCGCCCAGAATTCGGGAGTGGCCCCCCTCAATGCCTCTGCTATTCAACAACCCCTTATTTTTCAGACGCAGGAATGCCAGAATGGCCTGCTCTCTCACGTGGAGATCTAGTGGAGGCAGATCCAAGAGGGCCTCCATGACGGCTGTGGGGGTCGTTCGCATCGCGCCTGTGCAGGCAAGGCACGCTAGTCTTTGCACATGATTAAGGAGTGCTACAGTTGTGGAGAGTTTGGTTCTAGGCCACCAGACAATTGCTCCATAACAGAACATAGGTCTAATCACGGCAGTGTACAGCCACAGGACAGCCTTCGGGGATGGTCCCCAAAGTTTGCCAATAGCGCGGCGACTTTGCCAGAAAGCCCTATTTGCTTTTTCGGCTTTAAGGTGGATATGTTTGCTCCAATTCAGTTTTTTGTCGAGTGTGATTCCTAGATATTTCACTGACTCTGAAAATTGGAGGTGTTTTTGGAATAGCAGGGGAGCTCGAATACCCTCTACCTTTCTTTTTCTTGTGAAGAGAACTAGCTCCGTTTTTGTCGGGTTGATGTACTGTAAGAGCTGATTGCATCAGTCTGCATAAAGTAGCCTCAAATTTGCCGGTTATAAGTATGGATATATCATCCGCATACCCCAGCGTATAGTACCCACTGTCATTAAGGCGACAGGGGAGCCTGTTTACAGTCAAGTTCCACAGAAGTGGTGATAACACCCCACCTTGGGGGCATCCTCTCACTACTGTGCACCTTAGTGTTTCGTCGCCAACGCTGATGTGCACTGCTCTGAGATTCAGCAGCTGCGCAATCCAGCCTCGTACGACGTTCGGTACGCTGTGGTGACGTAGAGCCATTTCTATTGAATCGAAGGTTGTTTTGTCGAAAGCCCCTTCTATATCTATGAATACTCCCAATGCGGACTCTTTATAGTGCAGCGATCTCTCAATCTGCCCTACAACGCAGTGCAGGGCTGATTCCGTAGATCTTCCTGGGCAGTATGCGTGTTGGTTAGGATGCAGCGGAAACCGTGTTAGAGTTAGCGCCGTATCCCTTATGTATCTATCGCACAGTCTTTCAAGTGTCTTAAGAAGAAAAGACATCAAGCTGATTGGACGATATGCTTTAGGTGTGGAGTAATCACCTTTTCCAGGTTTGGGGATAAAAACAATTTTTATCTCCCTCCATTGTTTAGGTATGTATCTGAAAGCGATACAGCCTGTATATATTCCCACTAGGTAGGTAGCAATATCATCCAGTCCCCATTGCAGGAGAGCCAGTATTATGCCGTCCAAACCGGGTGACTTGTATGCTGAGAACGATTTCATCGCCCAGGTCACCCTCGCCACGTCCACCACCTGACAGGCAACCGCCCAGTCATTCTCCGTGGGAGTGAAAGGGATTGTCTCAGGCCAGTTGGGGTAAGGCGTGGTGGTGGCTCCAGGAAAGTGAGCGTCTCTTAGTACCTCAGCTGTCTCTGTGAGGTTGTCCGTATAGGAACCATCCTCTCTTCTGAGGCTAGCTGGGTTGTGGTATGAATCTTTGGTAAGGATTTTATTTAGGCGAGATACCGAGGAGGTGGATTCTATAGAGCTACAGAAATCCCTCCATGCCTCCCTCTGACGCCTTCTAATGTCCTTCTTGTATAGCCTTAGGTTTGCCTTGTAGGCTCTCCAGTCGGCTGCAGCTTTGCTCTTCCTTGCCTTATTAAACAGTTTGCCCAATCGAGTTTTCTGCTTTTCGAGTGCCCTGCACCACCAAGGATGGTTATAGGGAGTCTTGGCAGTTCTCAGAGGACACGCCTGTTCAAATGACTCCACAATAGAGTTGGTAAGGAGATCTACTACGTCCTGTATGTCGGCAGGATCAGAGAGACGTCCCCCGAAGGGGTGCTCTCTAAGTTTTTCTCCAAGGAGATGTTTGTAAAGGGGAATATCCGTTACCTTGGGGTTGCGATAGCCCTTTTGAACGGTTCCTTTACAGTCAATTTCAAATGAAATTAGTCTATGATCTGACATAGTCGCTTCAGAAGTGACTTGCCAGTTCTTTATATGATCCGAGATACTCGATGATGCCAGACTGAGATCGATCACAGTCTGGCTTCGGGAAGTTACGAACGTAGGTTCACTGCCCTGATTGAGAATCTCTAGATTAGTGCCTGTCAAATATTCGAGTAATGATTTACCCCTAGGGTTGACGTTAGCGCTCCCCCATATAGTATGGTGAGCGTTTGAGTCGCACCCTATAATGAGGTGTTTGTTATTTTTCTCACAGTGTTCTATCAGTTCTACCATCTCGTTACTGGGAGGTAGGTTGACAGAATCTCCCGGGAGATAAACTGACGCTATTACTACTTGAGGTTTTCCTTGCATATGTCACAGCTTAACTGTATGGTCGTGATATCACGTCCACACAGGTGTGGCAGCAGAAGAGCTTTAAAGTGGCTAGGGACATAAATACATGTTCTAGGTTTTTCTTGCCGTGTGTCAAAGAAAACGGTTCCTTTTGTACTCCCAAGGCCAGAAACCCTTGATTTAACAACCCAGGGTTCTTGAATGAGGGCAATGTCCTGCTTTACAGTGAGGCGTCTGCCTAGGCCGCTCTACAGTGTTGCAGGTTTATTTGTATAAAATTCTCTTTCATACTTATGTACCTATGTAATCAATGTGTTTATTACTTATCCGGCGTTACTGGAATCGGACTCCAGCAGCGCCTCAATATTCGCGAACTCCTCCCAGTTCGAAATCGGCCCGGGCGAGTTGCTGACACTGGAGCACGCATCGACCACAGGTTGCCTTGGCAGCCTGGGCGGTGATTTTTCCGTAGGTTTTTGCAGTTGCTCATGAGGCGCCTGTTGGTGATGTTTTGGTGGTTGTACTAACGTACTCCCCACCACTGGTTCGGCAGGGTTACTAACCCTCACTTTCAGAGAGGAAAACCCATAACTGAGTCTTCCCCCCCTTGGCGATTAGGTTAGTCTGGTCCTCTTCCTCAATGCCGAAAACTACCAGCCTCCCTTGAGGTTGATCTTTCACGGCTGTGTGGAAGAGACACCAGCTGCCTACCTTTGCCCAGGAATTCTGCACTTCCAAGCGCCGCTTAACCGTCGCCAGGTCGTCAGGTTCGCCTGGTACCCAGATGGCAGCCTTGCGGAGCCTAGGAAGGCAGTCTTCCTGCACTACCTTTAGGTGCGCATGCGCAGTGCTAACTTTTTGATCTAGGGAAGCATTATATGAAATTTGATACATAGCCGTTTGGAACAAAGGAAAATCTAACGTTAGTTTCAAAATTTAGATGTGCGCATGCGCAGTTCCAACTTTCTTATTTAGAAAAGCATTGAAATGAAATTCTTCTTATAAACTGAAATTGAAGTAGCACGTCCAATTCCAAAATGGATTTCACATTTGCAACGCTATTTTTCATATTTGTGGCCGGATTTTTAAGATTTTAACAGAAGTTGCATCTTACAAATGAGAAATGAATGCAAGTGGAAATGCGCTTTTTGTAAATCGTTTACGATTACTTTTTAACTTGTTTATTACATGGTTAATCTCCGAAAAGCTAGTAGTTTTAAACATAATTCGTTTTGTAAGAAAAATTGGGCATTTGCAAGCGTCAGTATATTGTCAAAAGTATTACTTAAATTTTGATTACAGGTTTTATATCTTTTATCCTGGGTAAAAGTCAAATAAATACATCTACTAGGAAACATTAAAAAATAGCATACCGGGTGTTTTTTTGGTAGGACCAAAGTTGCAAAACTTCACATTAAAAAATCTCACTTTTTTTAAATGGAACACCCTGTATATTATTCTGTCGTCATTTATCTCTTCTAAAAACCTTCAACTTGATAATAATGTCCTATCTCTGATATTTCTCAAAATATCTTGGTTTTCATGGCCACCTCGATATTATGTAAATTACATAAACTTATTTAAGATTAGAATATAAAAACCAGGAAAACCAAGATATTTTGAAAAATATCAGAGATAGGTATAGGACATTATTATCAAAAGTTGAAGGTTTTTGGAAGAGCTAAAAGATGACGGAAAAATATACAGGGTGTTCCATTTAAAAAAAGTGAGATTTTTAATGTGAAGGTTTGTAACTTTGGATCTACAAAAAACACCCTGTAAGCTATTTTTTTAATGTTTCATAGTAGATGTATTTATTTGACTTTTACTTAATCCAGGATAAAAGATATAAAACCTGGAATCAAAATTTAAGTAATAATTTTGGCAATATATTGACGCTTGCAAATGCTCAATTTTTCTTACAAATCTGCAATCTTTAAAACTACTAGTTTTTCGGATATTAACCATATAATAAAAAAAGGCGTACAATTACGCGTAGAATTTAAAAATGCATTCAAATACAGGGGGTTCTATTTCAAAAAATGTACCATTTTAGCGCCCTACTTTGTGGGTGTACCCTGTATAATTCCAAATATTTTTAAAATGTGGAGAATATTCAACCATATCATAATACAAAAGCACTCTATCGAAAAATCTTTTCTTCAAGGCATTAAGTTACTCCGCGCAATCGTTGACTCACCCTGTACAATTATACAATGGTTATACACAGACTATGCTATTAAACAGGTGAATTGAAAGTGATTTTGTAAATAACCGTCTTTGGTTCAGGGATAAGAATAAATAAAGAACAGCTAGATCATAGAGACGCGACCCCATTTCTTGTTGCTGCAAGAAGGGTTGTGGGAACGCGTGTAGCTGCAGGAAGGCAGGGATGAAATGCTCATCAGTCTAGACGCACTTCAGGAGCGCTTCCTGTGACAACATACGTCATACTCCATGTTGCAGTAGTCGATTCCCCAGTAGGCTACCTGTCCAATATCGCCACGGATATGTCTTCGACGATACATCTCCATCCCGTGATGGGGATATGCCATTCCGATACGACGATCCAAATACGGATGAATCTCAACCGGGCCCTTCCAAGAGGACTAAATTAATTTAATGTTGTACTTACCTTTTTAATTTCATTATTCGAAGCTTATCATTAAACATCCTCATCGTTCATACTTCTCATTTTCTTTTTATTTTGTAAAAAGGTAGTTTTTAATCTCACCTATCGGGGCCGTGTAATGAACAACTTTAAAGACGGGTCTTCACGGTCACGGTCATCCCGGCGATGACCATTCCGGTACCAATTTCCCGGCGACAAGGCATCCGGACGACCATTTACTTCCCGGCTCCGGATATCCCGGCGATGGGCAATCTCGGCAATGCTTTGGTCGTCCCGGCAATTTGAACTGTGCGATCGGGGGGATACAACATATTTCAGACACGGTATACGTATGAATCAAATTCATGTTTATTATATTGAAACAATTTACCGGAATTAAGTTTTCTTATTTGTTATTTTATAGACAGAGATGTCTTCTTTCTAGATATAATACAATCTGAATAGAGACTATATTATCAAATTGAAATTATGCCATTTATCGGTAGGTAAAATTTTCTGGTATCTACCTGCCTAGGTAAATGGGGGAAACGCAATGCAATTTTCTTTGCACTGATGGCAATTGTGTAAATAAACCGGCTTATTTGAGCTTCCTTACATATCTCGGTTTCTTATATTTCTAAGAATGAATTACAATGCACAATAAACCTCTTTCGGTACCTAATTTGACAACCGCTTCTAAATCATTATTTATGTTAAAAACGACAAGAAAAATGGAGTTGGACAGACGTCGTTAGGAAAGTGTGCATGTGCATTGCCGGGATATCCCATCCCGGGAAAGAGTCGCCGAGTATAATAATGGTCGCCGGGATGTACGTCGCCGGGATGTACATCGCCGGGATGGGATACACCGCGGGTCTTCATGATGCGGGGTCGGTCACATCTCCGAGCCTGTTATACTAACCTGGAGATTGTTCAGTTTTTTCCTGTCTTCTTCTACAGTTTTGGTCCAATTGTTTTCAAATTGGTGTCGTCAAATACGAATTGCGGATGAACGGGACGTTGGAAGTGGGTACCGACAAAGGGAACGTTGCCACCGACAAGATTTTACTGATGGTGGAGGTGGAGTCAAAACGAGCTAAAGGAATACTGATCTGCCATACAAAAATGCGCTGAAGTCCCTCCGATCTCACACGAGGACTTTGATCATTTTTTAAATTTAATTACAAAAATAATATGATTAGGTACATTAAACAAATCTATACTTAATATATCTTCTAATTAAAACAATCCAACCTTTTTCTTCATTTCCTGCTGTCTCCACTTTGGTAAAGTCTCAAATTCGCTATAGTCTATTTTAAATAACGAAACAAAATCGTCATGTGTAAGATGAACCTGAAATGCGAAACGTTGTCATTCGAGAATCTACCTAAGCACACGGCGTACTTCTTTGCGTAATGGATCCACCCTGCCAGGAAGGCAATCATTAGCGGCCGCAAGTACCTTGATAGGATATTTGATATATTGGTCAAAGTGGTTACATTCGCCGTTTCCTCTCACATCTTTTAAGGGAATAGTTGCGGAGCTGCCTTCTATTTCATATCTTACCTCTTCAAACGATTTATAGTTCTAGTAATAACACGAAATAATAAAGATAATGTTGCAGACTGTGATACAAACTTACAGTCCATAATGATGAATTCCAATTCGCAAAAAATCCCGCAAAATTAGGCGGTTCTTGGCCTTGCTTGATTAACGCTATTGGCATATTCATACTTCGACCTGCTGGGTCTGTACAGCAGTTTAGTTTACGTTAATTTAAAAGTTTAACCCTTACCGTTTGCCAGGTATACTTCGGCAGTAGTCATCGCTGACTTTTGTTCAGCGTTGCTGCTCAAGCTACCCATCCACATAAAAACACTTTTCCAGGTATCGAGAAGTAAGACGTCTTCTGGCAGCAGATCGTTCTGGGTAAAATTAACGCATTCTTCAGCTAAACGTAAATGAAACCAGTCTGATGCTCAGCACAGCTGTAATTTTAACTCACCCTTGAATCTCCCATTCACTATACGGCAATTAAATAACCGAGGGACTCTGAGATTTTCATCATCGTTGGATAGTTTAGATGTATGGTAAGGTGATTGGCCTCCGAGGTCGTCCCAGAAATTGGCAGACTCTTTCCCTGCATAGAATTCGAGTTTTATCTCGGCCGAGAGATGGGAATGTTAGTTACCTTCCATTAATATAGAAAAATCTTTGCCTATAAACCCTTTCGCCATTTCTCTCTGATCTCCAGTAGAGAAGTTGCCGCACCATATGTAGTAATGCTTTCGTTTCTTAAAGACGTAGCAATAGTTCGAATTTAAACTGGAAGCTTGAGCGGCGACTTCCAGTGCTTTAGTCGAATAGGAAGTGGAACCGCAGATTTGTAACAGATAACTTTTACCCTTTTTGGTGTGATCGTCTACAATCGAAAGGTTGTCACTACTGAACTGATACCGCAACCCAAATTACCTTCTACAGCCGGCGATCTTCCTCTAAATACAATCATTCGGCCGTGAAAAAGTTGCAAGAAGTGTGGCGACTCAAACCCTTGAACAATTCGCACTTGCATTGCCCCTTCGTCGAGTTCTCCTGAAATCTCATTTGCTTTGAATTTTGTACAGTTAATATCCTCTTGAGGAGCGTCGTTGCCCTAAAAAGCAAGTTTGAAAAATTCCTCACCGGTGCGCCAACATACCAACCACACGTAGACCACATTTCTTAATGTCTTCATTTCATAGGTGTATAATATTAAATAGCACTCCCCGGAAAACATTGTACCTTGTCGATTGCTTGGCAATTCGACGGTGTTAGATTTGGTAATTTTCCACATTTTTATGGTGCCGAAACCATCATCAATAAGTTGCGACTCCGCTGCCAGCGCGGGTCGTTCCACTAACGTCTCGGCATCAAATTTACCCACTGCCACCTTGGATACGCATATGACTACGAAATAAAAGGCACTAAGACAATTCCTGTTGCGGTAGATACAATAATACCGGCAGGAATTCTTTGGTTTTTTACTTCATCTTTGTTGGTCCAATTGGAAAACAGCATCTTAAACTCGACTGGCTCATGTCCATCAATTACACGGACCACTTGTGTGTTGTTGGGATAGTTTTTCTTTTTGACAAAACCGCGTGCATTTCTAATCGCCTCCAAGCGTTCCTTCTCTGTCGTTCCTTTACCCACCCAAACCCAAATCCCATTGCAAGAATTATCCACGATATACACATCCTGAAGACGTCAATTCAGTATAGATCAAGTCAAATTGTTAATAAACATACCTCATTATTTAAATCAGATTGAGATATGGGTCCAGGTTTTACTTCCACCACACGATATTTCCCAGACATTTCCGTGCACCTGTAAAGGCGCAAAGGCGTTTTGGTCTCTTGCCCGTTTTCCACGTCAGCGTTATAATCCGGAGGAAGTACAATACGTTTGTCCAAAGGAAGGTAGTTATCAAATTCGGCTTTAGCATCTTCGGAAAGTGTTTTTTCATAACCATCATTCACAAATGTAATAGTAGGGACATTATTTTCCTCTTTCAAAGACAAAGCAATCTAAAATTCACCTAAAACGGACACCGCGAAAGTACCCATTCACTTACCTTAGCTGCAAGTTGCCTCTCAACAGAATTGGATGCTCTACCAATCCACGAAAAGATTGTATTCTTTGTGAGGATCAATATCACATCGTCGCTGTTGAAAAACTTCCACGATACACCTTCTTCTTGCACAATGATTGGAATTTTCTTTCCCTTTATCTTGTACAGCATCGGTGTGGAAGGCAAGTTGCCCATTTCTTTCTTCAGTATTCTAACAATAAAAATGTCGGCGGCGTTTAATTATGTTTCCAATAATTACCTTATGCCGTTTTTGAAGTAGCTTCGAAATCGAGCGCTCTCATTTGCTTGGGTCTCCCTATGCTGCACTGTAATTCCCCCAAGGCGTTTGTCAAGCTCAACGGTCTTATAAGCAGCCACGCCGGACTTTTCGGAAGTCGTTTCGGAGCCCAGCCAAAAGTGTAAGTGATACTCCAAGGGCCCATTACGAATTTCCCTAACCTACAAAATTAAATAACGTTAATTACTCCGTTTTACATGCTTAATCCATCGATTTCAAAATAGAACTCAAATCGTTGTACCGTTGGACAATTTGTAAGTTCTTGCATTTATTTTTGGTTATGAAGATCGAATTACGGAGTAGAGAATTACGTACCGGTTTTTCTTTTCTCAGTTAAACATAACTGACAATTGTTTCGATAGAAATAAACCATTAGATAAGTATAATTGAGACAAGGAGCCGATATAGATACGCTAGTGCTAAGAACAAAAGTTCAGAGCACGAAGGTGCCGGGTTCAATCGCTCTGCCCGCCAGCAAACGATCTTGGACGTTTTTCCTCCTCAGGTTCGACTCAGTCTCGTTAAAATTGAATAGGGTAATAATAGGATGTTAGTGCTTGATAGAGCAATAAGGCAGCGCAAACGCTCGGGTTTCATAATAGAAACGATCGTCACGAGATTGTGCACAAAGAAAAGAGGATGAGTTCAATGAATCCGGACTATGGACGTCACTCGTCCGATTCGTTGCACATTTTTCTCTCGCGGTTCGACGGGAATTGCCTCGCGGCTTAATGTGAATTGCCTCACGGCTTCTTCTGAATTGCCTCGAGAATGATTTGCCACCCCCAATTTCCCACTACTTTACTTTTTCTAATTCTCACCCATTCCCGTAGTCAAACCCTTATCTACGAATCAAAACGAATGTTTTCGTCCAATGAAAATCATTTGCGGCAATAACTCCACGTGAAACCAATTACCTCAAATGTCAGCGAAAGAAACACGCTACTCAGCAAGCTTGATAAGCGCGGATGTACAAAATCGCTCCGGCAATTTAGGTAATCACGTCCTCGACTTTCGCACGCATTTAAATATTCATGGTACCATATCCACTTGCCCAGAAAAATACCAAATGAAAAAATTTAGGAAAAATTCCGAATAATTACGGGCTTACAATTCACTACGAGGGGACAGCCGTAAACACGTGAAAAAAAAGACAGTTGATAATTCGCATCCTGCCGCATAGTGCACATTAATGGTCAAGATCTTTGTTGGCTCAGGTGCCAGAGCAATAAGCTACCTAATTTAAAAAGAAGAACGAATATTGAAAACTGTATGATAGTTTAAGGCATCGGTAGAAGGGACAGACGGTCGGACAGAAAGAGAGAGAGAGGACGAGAGAGAGAGAGAGAGAGGAGAGAGAGAGAGAGAGAGAGGAGAGAGAGGAGAGAGAGAGAGAGGAGAGATGAGAGAAGAGAGAGGAGAGAGAGAGAGAGAAGAGAGAGAGAGCGAGAGAGAGAGAGAGAGAGGAGAGAGAAGAGAGAGAGACGAGAGAAGAGAGAGAGAGAGAAGAGAGAGAGAGGAGAGAGAGAAGAGAGAGAGAGAGAGAGAGAGAGAGAGAGAGAGAGAGAGAGAGGAGAGAGAGAGAGAGAGAAGAGAGAGAGAAGAGAGAAGAGAGAGAGAGAGAGAGAGAGAGAGAGAGAGAGAGAGATGTCCACTTAGCTCAACCTCACTTCACTTTTACGTGAGAAACGCGGGAAAAGTATTAAGACAGGGCCAAAGCGGAAGGATCGCAGTAAGAAAATATAAGATATATTCGCATACGCAGACTACACAGTAATAATGACAACAGAGGTAGGAACAGATGAAGGAAATATGGAAAGAATGGAACCGTATGGGGAATTAAGTTAAATGTTGGAAAGTCCATGATGATGAAATTCGGGAAAGGAGGAGGGAGGAAAAGAGGAATGGAGTAAGGAAAGAGTAGAGGAACTAAGAGAAGAGAGATATTTCGGGTGCCAATTGCAACGAAATAATGCGACAAATGGGCAAATAAAATGCAATGACTCACAAAAAAGGGAGAAAGTGGAGATGAGACAGTTGTGGGGAATAGGAGAGAGGAGTTTCAAAAATGACTTTATAACAATAGTTATTTACATATAAAAGTCAGGAAAATGACACATTATTGGTGACGAAATATTGAAGTACCTACGAGGCCTCTGTGGGCAATGACGCCATGGTGAGAGGGATACTTATGTACGGGCCGGACATAAATGTGGGTTGAAGATAGGGAATAGGAGAGGGTTTCAAAAATGACTTTATAACATAATTGGGCTAAACGGAAGCACCCCAAATTATACATTAGAGGACAAAACAAAATTGGAGAAGATAAGGATAGCGTCGCAGCACAGGGCGAAATGATTCGAGGCAAGGGAAAGTAAATTAGTAAAAGAATGCGTATCACTAAGGATAAGCACGAAAGGAAATTTGGGAAATAAAGAAAACATTAATTTTTACCCGCACCACGGGAAAGTTATAGTTTGTACAAACCAATCAATTAGCGACCATCCGAGAGGATGAAACCTACCCCTAATGTACAAAAATTCGTTTACCGCGCCCGAAAAAAATGGTTAAAACTTTACATGTACGTGAACGAGCCCGTTATGCGTGAAAAACAACCGAGCACTAACTGGCCGGTCGCTAAATGAATGCCAATTTTTAGCGCGTTTTTGAAAAAAAGTATAGCGCTTATAATATTCACTTTGCCTGCTCGGTCGGTCGGTCGGTCGATCGGCTACAAATGTTTTAGCATTCGAAATGCTTATGTTTTGTATGGGTATGAAGTTACCACTTTCGTCAAGCGGAAAAGAAGATAGTGGTGTCGCATCAAGTGATGATTGTCCCGTACTCGACTGCAATCGGTAGATTCAGGAAAAGTTGCGAATACTGTCGATACGGTACTCACTTAACAGTGCGCAAGGGTGTTGGTATTCGAATCTAAAATGAGCATTTACGACCCTTATTATTCAGAAAGTTTACGTTTGCGACACGAGCGAGCTTACGAGCGAGTGGAGCAAGTGATTCCTTGTGAATAAGGGTTATTTGTGTTTTACATATGGCTTTATAGATTATCATTTCCAATGCTCCGAAGGTTGCATCATGCATGGATTGCGAAATCTGTCAATTTTTTAAGTGCTTATATAACTCTGGAAGGAATCATCGTAGAATGCGCGAGTTTGAAGCCTTAGCTGTGTGTCACAATTATTTGCATGCAGATTATATTTCAGCACAAGTTTTCTTCATAATGAAACTGTAGCACAAAATGAGTTTGCTAATAAAACTTCGATACGTCGCTCAAAAACGCACTGAATACTTTCCAACTCTTGTTTAAATGTTTACTGTATTTTACTGTATTTCGAATAATATAAGCTGCGCCACCAGACGTTTGGGCAGCTCCACGAGAATTTTCCCGGCATGTCTGTCCAGCTTGAGCCTGCGGTTATATCAAAAGATATGGACCAAAAACTGAATTCTGAAATAATGCAAAGTCAAAATCCAGTTTTTATGAACATGATGGAGTAAGTGCCGCGAGAAGAAGCTAAAAATGAAGTTGCAAAGTGAGGTTCCTAACAGCAATTTTCGATGTCAGTTTCCAAATCACATCAATCAAGTTTTTGATCACATTATGGAGCCATCAATCATCTTAGAACAAATACGTATTTCAAGAACTTCTAATTACTACTTGCCAAATACCTAAGGGATAACGGATTTGGCAAAGATTCCCTGCTGCAAGCGTTACATTTTTATAGTCATTATACCTGGCCGGAGTAATCGTAAATCAATCTAATTCCACTCCCAATCTTTATAAACTTTTATTAAATGCAACGCATTTCAACATAAGGTGTATGAATGAGCAGAAAATCGAAAAATTAAATCACCTGTTCTATGTAGGTAGGTGCTGTTAGGAGTACGATTGGAAGTCATAAATACCACGATTGATTTGCAGGACGGCATGGTAATTTTGGTACAGCATCGGGAAATAAGGACGTTGAAAATAGACAATGAAATTGTGTCTCAAACCAAAAATAGCGGCACTGTAATTCAACCGGGCTAATCGCTGAACGTAAGCCATGTGTAAAATTACATTTAAATTATAATGTTCGATTAAAGAAATTAAATATCCATAAAGTTCTGCTATTTACTTCTCGTGTACTTATCGAAAGACCGGGCTAGATAATTTATTTAAATATGCGTTATTATCTCAAAAAGTCATGGGTAATTCAATGTCACACAAGATTCGTTTCGGTTAATTGTTCAAAATGTAATAATCATAGTTTTTTGAACAAAAACCCACGCAATCCTTCCACGCGATTCATATAAATATTTAAAAAAAAATGCTTACCACAGTGTCGATTCCTGCAGGACTTCCGCAACAAGAAGCGGCATAAATTAGATAAGAATCACTTGTGTAGAAAATCCCATGTTGGTCTTTGGGAATTGCCACTAATTGCATATTCTAAACAAATCACAAATTAGTACATAAAGGACAAATTTCAAATAGCATACCTCGACTTTCCATATCAAAAAATTGGTGACTTTTTTTTGAATATTCCGGAAAAAAGTATCCGGCGAACTCACTCCATTAGCAAACGCATCATCCTACGACAATTTTTAATTAAAATAAATTTCATAATTCTATAACACAAAAATTACAAAATCCACGGCTTGTAGTTCGATAACTTGCATTTTTGTTGTTACACGCTGACACTATATTTGCATAAAAGGCATACTTCAATTATCGTAAGTTGCGGCTTTTCCGAAATTTAAAGTTAAGATATCGCACACGTCCGTCACTCACGACAACTGGCGTACAATAACCGCTAAATCAGTGCAGCTGAAGAAGTAATCCAAAGAGTAGGTTCCGCAAGTGCTTCTTCCGATGATTTTGACTTAATTTGCATTGCTTATTAAGAAACATAATAAGTGTAAATGAGCGATGATTTATTACTTCGAAATATCCTACGAAAGTATTGCACATCGCTCATTTGCGTAATTATATCAACGGTTTCCTCTCGCTCATCTTTTGTGCAATTTGATTATGCGATCAAAATTGGCACAATTTGACATTTTCAAAAGTCAACAAAAGCCGAGTGACATTCACCCTTAGCACGACCGAAATTACTGACCTTATCATAGGCATTTAAGAAATGTTAATTTAGAAAGGTGGGTTACCTACGTCCGTTGTAGTTTTGTGGTCTTATTTCTTAATTGTCCCGCATGTTATAATAGCGTAAAATCAGATTTCCGTGTGAAATGTAATGCCAGGATGCGACATCGGGAGATCTTTTATGTATACTTATAATTAAGCCAAATTTGCATAGAAAACGGTAATATTTTGAGCGAGACTGTCGTATTAGCAGAAAACGTTGCAGAAATGTTCTTTTTCTTTCGCAGTACTTATTACTACAGTGCTCTAATGATCGAGTTATCTATATGGACTGTAATTATAACACAGTAGCTAGTGATAAAATTAAAATTTTATTTCCAGCCACATGGCGAAGAGGTGGGTCTAGGTGGGTACACCCTAATCTACCGTTTTCAAAATAAGTATAGGTACTGGGCCAGGTAAAAAAAATTATTGGATCTAATCCCATTTTTTTTATCGAACACACTGTAGATTTATTATGATATATAAAAAACATACCAAATTTCTTTTCAAAAATTAATACTACAATTTAAAAAAAATTCAATATTGATTCCAAAAGGTTTTTTTAAAATTCAAAAATCATTTTAGATTAAAATATACAGGTTGTTCTATTTAAAAAAGTTTGGTTACATCCGATAACTTTTTTTCTTCACTCAAAATACTTATTTTGAAAACTACAGGTTATTTAGCAATCATTATTATGTAACTGTAATATATCATTTTACGATTTTTTTGTCTAAATTGAACCGTACATACTTATATCTCGGTTTTATTAATTTGTTTAAATGTATTTTGATTGTATAATTTAAGAATTTAAGATTCTTGTATTTGTCGTATTTGAATCTCTAACGAAGAGCCTGTAAGAATCTCCAAAATGTTCTTTGTAGAATTTATCCAAAAGAACGAAAAAATCTAACGAATTTATTAGATAACGAAGAAGCAGGTGTTTCGAAGAATTGTGTATTTCATGTTGGAGAAGTGGGCACATTTGGCGCGTTCCACCGTGATTAGCAATTTATTAAAAAATTCTATTTTTGGGACAAAGTGGTGTGAAGAGTTATGGGTTAAGCAATTTTTTCCTTGATACTATCTGTGCCGAAAATCCATGCCTCATTTCTTATCCCTCTCTCCCGCTTTCCCTTTATTCCGTCTCTTTAATTGCTGCTCAATCTCTTGATATCTCATCCTCTTCCACCTCCTCTGTTCCATCTTGCTCCATCACAACTTCTTTCTCCTGCTTTCCCTGCAGTACCTTAAAAAATGATCAAAGTCCTCGTGTGAGATCGAAGGGACTTCAGCGTATTTTTGTGTGGCAGATCAGTGTTTTATTAGCCAATATTGACTCCACCATCAATAAGATCTTGCCGAAAGCTACCACGTTCACTTTGTCGGTACCATTTTCTCACTTACCGTGCACTCGCAATTCGCGTTTGAAGTTTTGACTCCACCATCATTAAAATCCTTTGGGGGTTACCATATTCCCTTTGTCGACACCCACTTCTGATCACCCGCAACAATTCGGATTTGAAGTTTCGACTCCACCATCAGTAAGATCTCGTCGGGGGTTACCACATTCCCTTTGTCGATACACAGTTCCGACGTCCCGTTCATTCGTAATTCACATTTTGGTAGATTTCGCTAAAATCCCGGCATAAAATCGTATTCAACTTTTGGGTACTTCACATAGCTCGACCTTCTATTAGTGACACGAGAAAGAGAGACCGCGATTCGCGCTGTAAGAAACTTTTGGGCGCCCAAAGTCGACTACCCCTCGAAGCGCGCCGCGCAAAAGGTGGTTTATTTCGCCCCTAGGAAAAAAAAACAAAATTCCGCCACGCAGGAGTTGTGCGCGTTGACAAGATCTTCCCGACGACACCAATTTGAAAACAATCGGAAAAAACTGTAGAAGAAGATAGATAAAAACTGAAAAATCTCCAGGTTAGTATAATACGCTCGGGGATGGCGTCCAGATGTCGTCGACTCCAAATCTTGTAGCCCCATCCCTAACGTTCTTAATTACACGGCCCCGATAGTTACATGTACACTCCTTGTCTTTTTACAAGCGTTTATCTACGGGCGCGCATTTACTGCCAGCCAGCTAGCCAGCCAGCCAGCCAAAGTGAGATTAAAAGCTACTTTTAAAAAAAAAATTTTTTGCAAAAATGCGCTAAAAAGTGCATCTTCCAGTCCTGTATTTATATTTCTCTCCCACTCATTCCGTTTCCCCCTTTTATCACATTCCAAAGTGGAGACAGCGAATAAACGGGCTGCTAGTTTTTGCGACGGATGAAGAGTGTGTACATCTTTTTACGCTAAATTACGAGCAGTCAGTCCTATTTGTTTTGTTGAAGTCGCAGTTCGTCACTTATATAATAAATTTGTGCACAAGCAAGTTCACCAAAGTTGTGTGAGAAATTGCTGCTTTCCCTGCAGTACCTTAATAAAGTGCATCTTCCAGTCCTGTATTTGTATTTCTCTCTCACTCATTCCGTTTTCCCCTTTTATCACATTCCAAAGTGGAGACAGCGAATAAACGGGCTGCTAGTTTTCGCAACGGTTGAAGAGTGTGTACATCTTTTTACGCTAAATTACGAGCAGTCAGCCCTATTTGTTTTGTTGAAGACGCAGTTCGTCACTTATATAATAAATTTGTGCACAAGCAAGTTCACCAAAGTTGTGTGAGAAATTGAAATAAAATCAATTGTAGTACAGCGAGACCTCTTCTTATTAAAAGTTAAAAGTTTCTACCGTCCGAACAGCCACCGAAAATTTGTTATCTTATTCATCAAGTCAGTTCTGTTTCCCATCGAATTTTGTGTTATAAAACAAAGTGAAGTTCAGAAGCTGTCAGCGTTTGTGTGTGAGAGTTAAGTACCCTTAGTATCGCAAACCTTGTACGACCAGATCATTTGGGTTATTAAGAAAAAGAACTGTAAGTCACTTTAAGATTTCTTATTTCAATGGTCGATCGCCTACGTGCGAGGTATATGTCCAAACATTAAACAAGTTGTTTCAGCTTTTCTTTCTTTTAGGAATTTTGTTTTAATTTTTTTGTATTGTGTTTCGGAATAAATTTTACCATTGTCAATCAATTAATTGAGTGTTTATTCGAATCCAAAGTGCGACTCAGATATGGATTTTCATATCAGATTGTTTGATTGTCTTTTCTGCGTCATTTAATTTCTATAGTGCGTTGTCTTCTTAATATCTTTAGGAAACAACTTAATTATTTGAATTTTTTGCGGCTAATTTACCTAATTATATTTACTTAGACCAAACCTGAATTTTGATTTTATTGTGACAAATTATGGAATAACTGACCCTTGAACTTGGTTTCATTCACAGTGAAATTTATGAAATATCTTTGATTCCAAATAAGAACATTTTATTAGGAGGTCCTTTTGATTATAACACTTTTTACACTTTTTTCAGCTCCTTTAAAACCTCTCGCTTAAAAGTTTATTACCAAGATTACAACGGATCTTTAACAGTGGAGCTTAAAGTTATCGAGGAAATTTGACACAATGCATAAATACAACTAAACTTTTTATTTACAATTTTTCTCTGACGTGGAAGATCTACAATTCTTACGGTCGCTATTCGTATCTTGTTTCTGCTCGACTGCCAAAACGAGAATTAATTCAACCTTTATCTAGCGCCACGATCAACGCACGAATTCCTTCATCTTATACCAAATTATCCTCTCTCTACCCCATAGTCACAGTACACTCTATACTTTGGCGAACCCAATTTAAAAAGTTCGCACAACGCCATGAAAATTCGATTTCAGACCTAGCTTTGAGGAAACCACCCTTAAAACCGCTCCGCTATCAAAATCAATTTAAAAATCGTCTAAAAAATTATGATTTATTTATTATTCTTATTATTTTACACTAGTTCAAAAAAGTGAAACGTATTACAAATTATTATACTCGTAATTGAAGATGAACTTAAGGAAACACAAGAAGAACTTAAGATGAAGTTGAGATCAGTTCGAGAAAAAATTGAGAGGAAGAAAAGAAATTGTGGGACTTTTAAGGGGAAGGCGAATAAAGTTTGGGGAAAAATGAAAAAAAAACTTTAACGGAACTTGAGAAGAATTTTATAGGAGCAGAGATAACATTAGTTTAGGAGAAGCAGAACAAAAAATAAAGCAGCAAACGTGTTAGTAATTTAAGGAGGAAAGCGTAACAGGTAACAGGAATTCGAGACTTATTAAAGAAACATAAAGATAAACTTGAAGAAACGTGAAGGGAATTTCAGAAGGATTTTAGAGTAACTTTATGAAAACAATAAAACATAAGGGGCAATTTCAAAAGAATTTGAAAGCAACTTGAAAATTTAAAATATCTCAGATGTTTTAATCATATCTCCGGAATTTATTTCACATTATTCTTCCAAAGTGTATACACTGTTTCTGCGATTAAAAGTAGAACGGTGTTCCATTATATTAAAATGGATATAATATGGAAGTATTTAAAACCCTATTACCCAACCAAAAGAAAGTTTGGATCTTCACGTAAAAAAACTCTACTTTTTGTGTAAAAATCTTAAAATTGGCATGTAAATAGTAAATTTACAGTACTATTAATTCAACCGTACATTTTTTTAGTTTATAATTTTACGTTATCAAATGAAGAATAACTGAATAATATAGGTACTCCCAAATTAAAA